GACCCTTACCAATCTGGGTTCAAACAGGGCCACTCCACTGAAACCGCTCTGTTAGTTGTGACTGAATCCTTAAAAGAAGCTAGCTAGACTGCCAAATCCTCAGTGCTTATCCTGCTCGACTTATCGGCTGCATTTGACACTGTCAACCATGGCTTCCTTTTGCCCACACTCTAGCATGGGCATCACAGAGCAAGCACAGGCCTGGTTTGAATCGTACCTCACAGGGCGATCAGTGTATCTTGGCTTGGACAATCCTCTACCGTGCACCATCTTGCCACAGGAGTCCCCCAGGGCTCTGTACTAGGACCTCTTCTCTTTGCCATATACAACACCTCACTGGGTGAGATCATTCGATCACATGGCTTCTCCTACCACTGCTATGCAGACGACACCCAGCTCTATCTGTCATTTCCACCGGACGACCACACTGTCTCTGCACGAATATCCAACTGTCTCTCTGACATATCAAAATGGATGAAGATAAGATAAGATAAGATAGAACTTTATTAATCCCTCGGGTGAGTTCCTTTAGGAAATTCGGTTTCCAAAAAAAGCAGCACAACACCGACAGAAGTTACAGAGCGTCAGAAAATGTTATATAATAATAAAAAATAGAAATAAAGATAAAAATACAATTGAATTGCACCTTCCAGATATCAAAGTCCTTAGCACCGTTGACTATTAAACCAATTTGACTGTTTGACAAAGGTACTTGCATAGAAGGTATTGCACAGTGAAGTGAAGAGTCCCACCATCTCCAACTCAACCTCTCTAAAACTGAACTACTTGTCATCCCAGCTAAACCATCCATACAGCACAATATCTCAATCCAAAATGACTTCCTATCTCTGGCGCCTTCAAAGGCAGTTTGAAATCTGGGTGTTGTGATTGATGAACACCTGACCTTTAAAGATCATGTTGCCTCTGTTGCTCGTTCATGCCGCTTTGCGCTGTATAACATACGAAAAACCAGACCATACCTAACACAACATGCCACCCAGCTCCTGGTGCAATCTACTGTCATCTCCCACCTCGACTACTGCAATGCCCTTCTAACTGGTCTTCCAGGCTGTACTGTGAGACCTCTTCAAATGGTCCAGAACGCAGCGGTGCGTCTGGTCTTCAATCAGCCAAAAAGAGCACACGTCACCCCTCTGTTCATTGAGCTCCACTGGCTACCGCTAGCAGCATGCATCAAGTTCAAACTGCTAACACTAGCATACAAAGTCCGAGATGGTACGGCTCCCATCTACCTGAATCCTCTTGCAAAGGCTTACGTCTCGGCCCGGCCGCTCCGGTCATCACAGGATGGTCGGCTAGCAGTGCCTACACCACGCTCAGGACAATCCAGACTCTTTTCATGCATCGTTCCACAAATGTGGAAAGACCTACCAAGCACTACCAGAACTGCGGCTTCCTTTTCAATTTTCAAGAAACTCCTGAAGACCCTGCTCTTCAGAGAGCATCTTCTAAAATAGCACCCTCCCTGCACCCGTCCCCCCCTCTCTACTGTCCACTCCTTGTTCCCTCCTCTCCATGATTGATGTCAAGTTGTTGTTATTGTTGTTGTTAGCCTCAAGGGCAACATGCCAATTATCACTTGTAAGTCGCTTTGGACAAAAGCGTCTGCTAAATACATAAACATAAATCATAAACCCAGCCTTTCAACTGGATGCATGAACGACACGAAATAATAGATGCATTTTACCAGTGAACCCCCTTCCCATCAAGGGCTGGTCTTGCAAGGTCACGCAAGGATCAGAGAAATTGCAAAACCACGTGTGATTCCTGCAGTTCAGTTCAAAACACACGCAGACAGAGAAACAGCATTTCTCTCCACCTCTGGCACTAGAGTAAAGAGAGGAACTGGAGGAAATTTGCTTGGAAGAGGCCAGCAGCGGCTCTGAGCCGTATCGTCTCATACTCGTGAGCTAGAGGCGTGGCCAAAACTTGGCTCTAATGCAGTAGTTACATCAGACATACTTGCACAAATCACTGCTTAGCCAATAGCGACGGCTGACACACCGATGTTTTAGGAAGAATATTTCTATTTTAAAATAGATGCACTAAAATGTCCAAATAATAACTACGCATGTCTATTTAGCCATTGTCACAAAACAATGCCGTCAATTTGCCTCAACGCTGTGGTGGGATCAGGGGGCTGTAGGTCGTTTATAAGTGGTCACATGGCGGTAAAGTGGTACGATGGTGTCCTTTTACAAAAGATTAGGCGATGGCGGCATAAAGGGGGTATTGGGGCGGTCCCTGCGCTGCTACAGACTTCCGTTTATGTTGGACATAACTTGCATTTTATTGCAAATGAAGCCACGCTCATTATAACAAGCTGCTCCTAAAGGTGTCTGTCCTCCACAGTCCCTGTGCAGTCTCTGGCGATCTGAGCTCCAGCTTTAATGGAGAAAAGCTTCAGGAGCTCCACATCGGTCCAGTTTGACGTCTCAGCGGATTCTGTTTACCAAAGCAAAACTTACAGCCCGTGTTTATTTTCATTTTCAATTAAGTTGACGGCCAGAGCTCGGCAGTAACTCCCCACGTGATCATGACACCTCCCTCTGGTACACCAAGGGAGCAATCGCTGTTTATAAGATGGACAGTTACCACAATTTTACTATCAAGCGAGGTGGAACGAATGCCGCAAAAGTTGCGCATCGCCACGCCATCATAGCATGTTTATAAGACACACCGCTGTGGTAATATGACCAATTTGCTGGAAAGATGTGTCTTGTAAAAAGCACTTTAGACACTCATTTATACAGTTTATCAGGTAAAAAAGTTGATTTGGGGGTGACTAGCTCTTTAGGCAACTGACAAGCTGCATGTGGCTTTTATCTTGAATGTTTCTGGATGCTTTAGACTGCTTTCATGTTAGACTTGAGGTCTGGCCCGATCTGAACTGCTGAGCTTGGCGCGTTCTTGAAGAGTAGCGCACAAAAATTAGCATACAGTACATTTTTCAGAGCGATGCAACGCTATGCTTCTGGGATGCATGCAAAATGAACGCTTTGCCTCCAGTGAAAAAGCACCCATCCACTATGAGGGTGGCTAACTGCTGCATACTGTGACGTTTGCGGGTCCAGTGGAAAAGCCCGGTTGCAATACCTGCAGTTCATCCTCCTTTACTACTACCGTCCGCAGTTTTTGTCTGAAATCCTTCAACACACTGGTGCCAGCTGTACGCCCGACAGCTCTTCAACTCACCCACTATGTCAGTCTCTTTTTCTGAGCTTTATATTGACCTAGGAAATCTCAATCAGCTTCTCAAACATTTGACATTTTCCTTTTGTAGGACCACCCATCAAAACAGATGTTAAAACAACCAGATGTATGAGGTGAAATCCCGGAAACTGATGGTGGTTCAGAACGTTAATACAGGAAATCTAAAATAATCATCATACAACAGAGCAGGCATAAAGAATAGAGTCAGAGCTTACTATAAACGTGTTTCTGAACCTTACAGCAGCTTTTTAAGTTGCTTACTCATGTGTGATATACACCGACACAACCCCCTGGCTCTGTTTCCACTCTCATATAGAAAACACAAACTCAGTTTTCATTTCCGTTTGATTGCTTTGTGCACTTTTATTTTCTTTGAAGCATCGGGGCAAATTGAAACATGCAGTCTAATATTATTGTAGGTATTTGTTTGTTTCAAGCCTTTACAATAAATAAAGTCATCTTGATGTTTTATGAGATCCATTCTGTTTAGTGTGGCAAACATACACTTTCCAATGGAGGTGGCCTTTGCTGTCATCCAGTATGGGGTGTGGAAGAAAATTTTATACATTCCTTAACAGCTATATTTACATTAATGTTACATTTAAATGAATTCAGCATAAGTGCATGTTCAGACTAGTGCATGAGCAAAGTAAAACCCCCACAAAAAATGAAGACCACATTCTCAGGGCAAGTTTAAATTTCAATCCATCCATCCATTTTCATCCACTTATTCAGAGTTGGGTCGTGGGGGCAGTAGTCTATATCGAGAGGCCCAGACTTCCCTCTCCCCAGCCACTTGGGCCAGCTCCTCCGGGGGAATCCCAAGGCATTCCCTGGCCAGGTGAGAGACATAGTCCCTCCACCGTGTCCTGGTTCTACCTTTAGGTCTCCTCCCAGTTGGACGTGCCCGGAAAACCTCACCAGGGAGGCGTCCAGGAGGCATCCTGACCAGATGATCGAGCCACCTCAACTGGCTCCTCTTGATGTGGAGGAGCAGCGAATCTACTCCAAGCCCCTCCTGGATGACTGAGCTTCTCACCCTATCTCTACGGGAGAGCCCAGCCACTCGTCGGAGAAAACTAATTTTGGCCGCTTGTATCCGCGATCTCGTTCTTTCGGTCACTACCCAAAGCTCATGACCATAGGTGAGGGTAGGAACGTAGATCGACCGGTAAATCGAGAGCTTCGCCTTCTGACTCAGCTCTCTCTTCACCACGACAGACCGGTACAACGCCCGCATCACTGCAGATGCAGCACCAATCCACCTATCGATCTTGTGCTCCGTCTTTCCCTCACTCGTGAACAAGAGATACTTAAACTCCTCCACTTGGGGCAGGACCTCATCCCTGACCCGGAGAAGGCATTCTACCCTTTTCTGACTCAAGACCATGTCTCGGATTTAGTTTAGTGTAGTTTAAATTTGTCATAATAAAATTTTTGGTTAGTATTTTGAGCCTGCTGAATCATGGATCATCTGTTGATGGGGGGACCTAGATGGGAACACTGACAGACACATGGGAATTCTGACTCCTGGATCTCTCCACACTGCTTTAACCTGGATCAGCCGCTTTTATCTGAATTTGCATGTTGGCAACAATTTGTGTTCAAATCTGCAACAAGAATATTTAGATTTCAACATTTAAAAGTAACCTCACGTATTTTTACCTAAAATATTAAGGTTTAACAATAGTATTAAGATTCGTGTCTGAATGCATTATTTTACACTGAAGAGAGCTTAATGAGACACTAGTTTAGTGTGACCTCACCTCCAATATCCGGTCTGAGTTTCTTGTCATATCCTTTGAGTAAATTGTTGAGTATTTCTGTGGCGTCGGTTTCCTGGGATTTGGGAGCCAGCATTTGGTTCACAGTGACATCCTCGTAGTCTTCCTCATATTCCACTGTTAAAGAGCTGGAGGGGTGAACAGAGGACACAGACGGAGCTGACGCTTCTCAGAAAGTTTTAAAGCGTTGATGAAGATTTAGAGGATTAAAGAATCTAAACGAGCCACGTGGGTTTGCTTTCTGTTTCAAAATGAAGTCAAACTCAAACCTACCAGGTGAAAAGGGCAGACAGAAGTACGACCAGAGCCTGTAAAGTGGACGTCATGTTTCCCAGAGGACAACAAGTATGATGTAGACGGAGACGGTCAGTGTCTGCAGGCGGCGGTCACAGCTGCTCTGAGGAAGAGGAGGAGGAGAGGGACTTCATAGTTCCTAATCCAGTAGATGTGTCTCCGGGTGGGTGTTTAAAAATCAGCAGGTCTTTCCTTGGTGGCCGTTTCCTCAGACGGACAAGTACTTTGTCCCCAGTCGCGGTGTCCTCACGGTGGACCGCCGGTCTCTTTACGCAGGTGCGCGCTCTGAACGCGTTTCTCCGAGAGCCCCAATTCATCCAAAACCTCCCATGTGGCGAAGTCTGCGTCACCGAGGAGCCGCTCCACCTGCATGGACAGCTTTCTCTGATCTGTCGTCCCCTCACAGAGTGTTCACACACACACACACACACACACACACACACACACACACACACACACACACACACACACACAGCTCTGCCATGTAGAAAAATGTCAGCAGAAAACACGGTCCGGCACATTTTCTGTAGGAGTGAAGAAGACTCTAATAAAATTAAGTGAAAACAAAAACTGCTGGGAGAGCATCTGTGACAACTCACCAGAAAATATAGTGTGTGTGTGTGTGTGTGTGTGCGTGCGTGCGTGCGTGCGCGTGCGTGTGTGTGTGTGTGTGTGTGTGTGTGTGTGTGTGTTCTTTATGTATTCAAAGCAAAATCTTAAACAACTGCACATTTTCTCTCACAAAAAGCTGCTAAAATTAGTAAATTATTGCCAGGGAAAACGGAAAAATAGTTTTTCTTCTATGTAAGTGACTTTCTTTAAGTTGAAATTTGTAAATTTATTTTTAATCCAACTAATTCTTTACTAATACTAATATGAAAAGTAAATATTTTATCTTTTATTTAACCATTTACATGGTAAAACAATGTTAATAGAATTAAAAACGACACTTGCCATTTGTAGCAGTTCATCCTCCACTAAAGGCCACAGAGCACAATTATTTACATAATACATAGAGTTATAGGGTTAAGAATGTACGTAATCATTTCTATGTGTTAAGTGTGCGTTGAAACTGAACAGTGTGTCACAGCTTGGAGGATAAGGGGCATCAGATTGTGTTTTATTGTGGAAAAAGATCATAACCTGCTGACAGCTTTAGGAGATGTTTTTAGCAACACAAGGTCACCTCTCATGTTTATTTATAAAAGGTTTGCCATCAGGGTTATCTTATACAAACCAGCCATAAGCCTTTAAAATATTTTGTTATGTTTGATGTTCGTGTCTAACACAGAATAGTTTTTACCTCATTTTACTGACAGTCATTAAAATAAGGTTAAAACGTTGCTGTTCTGTGTTATTTATAAAAAATATTCTTTTACACCTCCAGTGAAAACTTTACTGATCCTGTAACACTGATGGCTTTTCTAACAGATGCAGAGACAACGTCTGCATATGTTGGTCGTGTAGTGATTAAAAGAGTAGCACTAACTCAGGTCACAAGCAGCTATCAGCTCCTCCTCCTGTTTTATTATTACTGGTTTTTAGAAATAAATAGCAACTTGTGCGTTTGAGGCACCAGAGTGGAAAACACAGCTGTTGCACTCAGCTACAGGTGCAACTGGTTCGAGCAGTCAGTGTGGTGCAGACAGACGCAGGCTGCCTGCTTCCGCCCTCTGGTGGTTAAACGGGAAAGTGCACTAGAAACAGCATCTGCGGCATTGCTGAAATGAAGACTCAGCAGCACACACACATGAACAGAACACATTCACCCTTGTTGTGAAGTAAATCTCGATGACCGGCATGTGTGTCTAACAAAGTAACCTGTGTGTGTAGTTAATCTTTTCAGTGGCACTTTGCCAACATGATATTAAAGAGCAATATTGGTATTGGCAAGGTATTTATTATTGCTTTAAGACTTAAGGTGAAAGTCAAGCTCAAATAAGTTTTTTTCTTTTTATTACTGTGACGGTTCTTCATGTTGTAAACTCTGCTACTTGACTTCATATGAAAGAAACAGCCCTGCAACACCTGCCATCATAAAACAATCCTAGGACAATGTTGGGTTCAAGATGTCTTGTGATCAACACAACGTTCTATTTAAGGCTACTAAAGATATTAGATGTATAAATACCACCCTGTTCCACTTTATGTTCATGTTTCTGAGAGCGTAAGTAGAACTTTGTCAGTGTGTCTTTGCACAGAGATGGTGGAAACGTTTAGGGATGTTCTCCTGCTCAAACAGCAACGCCAGACATCAATGTTCCAAGGATGCAAGTGTGCAGGCATGGCCAAAGGTTACAGAATGACACCATCTACCATACAGCTCTTCAAACGTGTGGCTAGCCCAACTGGGTGTGTGTTGCAGCATCTAAATGAAGAAAGTGAAGCATTGTTGAGGGACTTCTGTGACCTTAATGACCCAATCAGTGTGATTATTTCTGATTGATTATAAGCCTGATACCCACCCATGTTTCAGAACTGAAGATTCTCTAAGATGTGAGCTGAAATGTCTTCAATAAACAAGAACAGTCCGGTTTTGTTGTTGTTTTTATG